GAGTGAGGGGGAGTGAGAGTAGACAATACAGAAGTAGATACAGAAGATATAGTAGATATACGAGGTGAGGGGGAGTGAGAGTAGACAATACAGAAGATATAGTAGATACACGAGGTGAGGGGGAGTGAGAGTAGACAATACAGAAGTAGATACAGAAGATATAGTAGATATACGAGGTGAGGGGGAGTGAGAGTAGACAATACAGAAGTAGATACAGAAGATATAGTAGATATACGAGGTGAGGGGGAGTGAGAGTAGACAATACAGAAGTAGATACAGAAGATATAGTAGATATACGAGGTGAGGGGGAGTGAGAGTAGACAATACAGAAGTAGATACAGAAGACATGGTAGCTACACGAGGTGAGGGAGAAAGAGTAGAGAAAGTACGATAAAAGCTGCAAAGTATGAATGGGACAAGCTGCAAAAGCTGCATCGTACAAAAAAAATACTAAGTGCAAAAAAGCGCAAAGTACAAAAAGGGACATATAACGTTCATGATAACGGAGTAAAGGTCTTCTACACTGATTCTGATCAATCATTGATGTCGGGTAATCTCTGCCTGATATATCCAGATGCTCACTTACCCCCACATTCTTCCTGCAGCCTCACTTCCAGGTAACTCCTGAAGGGGGCGACACCTGTTCCGGGCCCAACCATTATCACGGGAGTGGTAGGTTCACGCGGAAACCGAATGGACCCTCTTTTCACCCAGATTGGTATTTTGACTGCAAAATAAATATTGCCGATTAACATTATTATTATTATGCGATAATGAAGTAAGTTCTAAACCACACTTACAATACGATTAGTGTTTTTTAGTGGGATATTTAGTGTTTTTTTCAGTGAGATTAGTGATATTTTATGCGGCAAGCAGTGGTATCATAGTCTCCAAACAAGGAATTATTATTATTATTGTCATTGTTATTATTATTACTATTATTATTATTATTATCGTCATCATCATCATTATTATCATCATCTTCTCCTTCTTTGTCATCGTCATCGTCATCATCATCATCATCGTCACCAAATTTAACGATTTAATTTGGGGACATTGATAAACGCGTTACATTCCGCGTACACCACAAGAAGACAAGCCAGAATGCACGCCGCGACAAAAATAAAAACCGCGTGTTAGTGCGTACCATCGCCACCAGGTGTCAGCGCCGACAGCCACGTGGAGCAGACGCCCCGCCTCGGCTCGAGCAGCTTCGTCCGGTACTCCACCACCGCCATCAGGATCTGTATCTCGTCCGGGTGTGCCTACACACAAGGGGGCGCCACCACTGCCGTTAGTCACCTCAAGACGGGGGCCATTGTAATTGTACTTGCTATATATGTATATGTATATGAAAAAAAATAAACAAACAAAAAAGAAACAGAAAACAAAAAATCGGAAACAATCGCGATCGAACAATCGCCCCTCCCTTCCCTCCTTCCCCCTCCCACCGACAGATGGCAGCACGTGTACCTGCAGACTGGAGGCGATGGAGAAGGCTCGCGGCTGCATGGCGGGGAGAAGGTCGAATAGGCGATCGAACGGGATCTCGCCGCGCACGTGCACGAAGTCTTGCAGTACCTCCACGATGCTGCGACGCGGGCGGTTGCAGTATGCGTACAGCTCTTGCTACAACAAACAGGATGCAATGTTTACTTGCTATACATTAATGGTCCTTACATTTACATCATTTATATTTACATATTATTACATAGGACTACATTTTCATTGAGACTTCTTTGCTTTACTTTCACTCGCCCTTTCTCTATCAACTTTATAATTTTTGTTTTGGTCGCACATTTTCTTTATAAACTTTACTTTCCTTTCCTTTGACCTTTTCTCTATAAACTTTACTTTCCCTTTGCTCGCCCTTTTTTCTATAAACTTATAACTATTATTCTCCCTACTGTTATATTATTAACTCCCTATAACTATATGGCGAGTGAATGGGTGGATACAAACACGTTCGCTCCTAGGCTTTGTTACATCCCCCCACCCCCGCCCTCTCTCTCTCTCTCTCTCTCTCTCTCTCTCTCTCTCTCTCTCTCTCGCTCTCTCTCTGTCTCTCATCACAGCACTGTAACCAT